GGATTTCTAGAGACTTCAAACGGATTTACAGTTAAATGTGTACACAAGTGTTTATGGAATTACAACGGCGACTTGGTTGCTTTGCTCATTTGGGCCATAACTCCTTATCGACCGGCAAAATAGCTAAACAGCAGAACAGCAAAACAGCTGTTACTCAACTATTTTCCATGCAATCGCAATAGAATTTAATTTTGGACCGTACATCTTTCTTCCTTTGATGAGTTTTTAATTGGAAAAACAAAGATAAGAAAATAGCAGGAAAATTCATTACGGCTGTTCGCAAACTGAAAATATTCTTTAGGGACTTGTGACAATTTTTTGCTTCTGGTGCTTATTATATTTCTTATAAAGTGGCCATAATATAAGACAACCAGAGCAAAATAAAAATATCTGTGAATAAAAAAAAAATTTAATAGAATTAGTAGTCTTTTTATAATTTTTTTTTTTTTCTTGATTTATACTTTGTAGTAGCAGTGAATTATCCTTACTATTTCACAGAAGAAGAATATTGTTATAATTGCTTGTAAAAAGGAAAAATTAAAAATAAAATGTATTGTTCAAATATATACATATATAAATATAAACGATAATAATACACAAAATAAAAATGTTAAAAATGAAAAATTAAAAAAATATATTATCTTAATAGGTATATAAATACAAACGTTAAGAACACACAAAACAAAAATGTTAATAACGAAATATTATAAATAAATATGGATCCTTCACTTACAAACTGTACGAATTTCTACAAAAAGATACTTCATCACATCCGATTTACTCACAAATTTTTCTTAAAAATTTCTCTAATAAAATTAAAAAATATCTGTATAGCGAGAAACTATATATATTAGCAATATTTTTGTATTAAAATATAACTTTTAACAAATAAATTATTAAAATTGTTTTTAATTCCTTTTGATTCAATATATCTGTTTTTATAAATTGAGATATATTATAACAAAAAAAAAGCAACTTAATAATAAAAAAAATTTGATGAAATATAAATAATATTAATATTAATAAAATTATATAGACATTTTATCAATATATAATTCAATATAATAATAATATAAAATATAAATATAAATAAATCTATTAATAAAATTATATAGACATTTTATCAATATATAATTCAATATAATAATATTTTAAAATAAAAATATTCTATAATTCTTAACTAAAAGAACCTAACCTAACCTACCATGTATGTTTTTATATAGCAGATATTTAATATTCTAAATTGGGACGTTCCTTTATAGAAATTTTTTACTGTTGATAAATATATAAACAAGTCAAAATATATTTATTAAATTAATATATTGCTTAAAATTTTAGAAATTAATCAAATTATTAAAAAAATGACACCTTAGTATTAAAATAATTTAATGAAATATAAATAAATCTATTAATATATATATAATTTACTACAATAATATTTTTGAATAAAAATATTTTATAATTTTTAATTAAAAAAATTAATTAGGCATAAAGTGAAATGAAATAGTTGATGCTGATGCTGATACTATTGGTAAAAATGGCGCAAAAATTTTAAAGGAACAAACGACCGAAGTACTCAGACCTCTGAAATAAATACATACAAATACATAAACTTCTGGACGAGCACATAAGGAGAGCAAAGGAAAAGTGACGAAACTTAAGCACCTGTAGAATAGCTAGGATCATGTGCAGACACATATACGAGGAAAACCACACCGAAGATATTATATCATCTAGCCGAAGGAACTGTAGAATATTAATTTGTATATTGACAGGTCACTGTCTGATCACATCACTTGCGCATTAACTAAAGCTAAAATGCAACGAGTCATATTCAAAAAAAACTCTGAAGCATCTGCTGTATAACAGCCTGATTCTCTCGAGATTAAACTATTTTCATTCTGAATAAATGAGATTAAGATAAGATCTAAGATCAAAGATGAAACTTAAAGAATCCGACATCTGTAAATACGAAGAGATACATAAAATACATGAAATACAAAAAGAAACTCCCTAACCTTATCTGCTCATGCTCTGAGATTATCAGAAAAAGCGTAAATATTAGATTAAAGACAATATGTATGTTTTAATCTTTTGCCCGGTAAACGACTGGCCCAAATTATTTTCACAACATCTCCTTCTTATAAGTCCCTAATTACCACATTACCTAAAACACACTCGGTATGAATAACAATATACAATAAAACAACACGTAAATACTCTACGTAATAGCTCCATTACTATCTCTTTAACGTAAAGCATTATATGTATATGTTACACAAAGCTCAAAATGTAAAAAACAGTTTCAAAACACAGCGAGGATTTCATATATTATCGTATTATCGGATGATGTAGACAGTTTAATCCCATATTATTTGGAAGATTGAATTAAGTTGCATTCATAATAAGTAAATTGATTGATTTTATTAGTGTAAAAATGTTACGCATATGAGATTATAATTAAACTATACGGATGAAAAATTTTTATATTAAACATTACATTAATACCAATTTAAAATCTCAACCATATACATCATTGTTATTAAAGTTAATGAAAATTATATTTTTAAATCACACTACTTCATTTTAATTCCAGCACAGAGATATTTTCTTGCAAAAAACTGAAATATAAATCTACAGCACACTTCATGATGAGTAAATTAATAAATAGTATGATATTAAAAAAGAATAAAACGAAAACAAGTTTCTTCTCAAATTAGCAATATCAGGACCTAAAAATGCAAATCTATACGGGGTAACCACCATATTATAAAAATCAAAGTAAAACAATTGACAAATATACGTATATCTATTTTAAATTTATTTTTCAGAAAGTTTTTATCATGATCAAATGAAACTAATATTAATTAGTTAATTAACACAAATTAAGTAATGATCCCATAAAAGATCGCTTAAATAAATCCTGTAAAATCATCAGGTATCTGAAATTCATAAGTTATAATATAATTTTCCATCAAATCAGATATATTAATATTTTCTTACACATATCTCAAGTGATATGCTTATTTGATTTCAACAGATTTACTTTGATCCACTTGAGAGTTTTAATTAAGTAATTCTTTTAGGGTTATTTCTAGGGAATACAAAAGAAATCATATGCATAATATGAAGATTTCGATATACCATATATGTACTACTCACTTTCATTATAGATTTGTACTATAAATTTTCACACATGTATATATACATGTATATAGGTATATGCTTTCATTGTAATTGCTTTTAAATATTGTATGTGCTTCCTTCCACCAATCAATCATTCATTATATCCGTTGATAACCAAAGAGAAACTCTCTTCAAAAAAAATCTACGATTTCATTGAATTAAAGATATATAATAAATAATAATTAATTGAAGTTTCACCTACCTGGTCTCTCATTAAATAATGAATATTATACATTAATATAGTACTGTTAACCAAAGCAACTTGCATAAGATAAGGATATATAGTAAGATTTTTATAAATGAAATGTGTATTATAAAAATTTACGAAGTCGAAGGAATCATTATCTATAGTAGTGTATAATGAAACAACACGTATCCTTAACTTCACTCCATTTTAATATGTGGACATTTTTATCCAGGGTAAAGAAATTTTATAGAGAAAGAATCTTAAATCGAAATGTTATTATAATTTAATGAAATCTTTGGAATTAATTTGTGTAAGATAATCTAATAATCTCACTCACCTCTTTCTTAACTTAGTTTATATGAAAGTTTATATATGGTTTAAAATTGAGACATAGTTTTCCTATTCTTTTGCCTCGGATGGATTGGATGGTGCCTCCTTGAAAAAAGCTTAAAAAGAAGTTGATATAAGATTTTGATAAGGTTAGAAGCATAATAGTTCTAATAGTTTTCGTTTTAGTTAGTCTTTCTAATATTATAATAAAAAATCTGATATATATATTTAAATAGTTGTACTCGTATTGAGTACGCAACTAACCACGCAACTCTGAAATAATTTCCTACTCACCTTATTTTTAAAATTTGTGATGATGTGAGATGTGTTCAAATCAACAGAAATATAATATATATAACAAACTTAATTGTTATAATTATTTGGATGCTACATTTTAATGTCCAAGTGTCCTAGTGTCCAATACGACCAAGATTGATACAACAAGAAATTTTGAAGTTAACGCTAGAATTTTTAGAAAAAACAAAAATTTTTATTTTTTAATTTTACTAGTCAGTTTCTTTAAATTTATGTCTACTTTGATTACTATATAATTATTCTTTTCGATCTAAATGATTTATTATTTATCCTTAAATAAACCTTCTTCTTGTTGTGATTAACATATTTTAAAACCTCAATCTGATTTTAGTTTTTCTTCAGATATCTAGAGAGTTCTTGACTTCATATTGTTCTACATTCCACATCAATGTCGTCAGTAGTTAATGTGCCCTTTTCACGCAATATATGTAAAGATTATAAAGCTTTATTTTAAACTTCATACTCGTAATCACTTAATCGTGTAGTATTGCTATTACATTAAAATCAATGTAAATTTTTTACTAGTTTGACAGTCTATAATACTAGGTTCTTCGTAACCTACTTTATACGTGTTCGATTTTAGAGTTCTGGAACTGGTAAATTGACTAGTTTGTTAATAGACAATAATATTGCTTTGTTGTGGTTAGAGTTAATCGTAACTGAATTAATACTAGTATACTCATTATTTCATCACTGGTGAGTTTGAAATTGCATCTCCTACATTATTCTTCATCGGATGGATTGAATTTTAAGGCCAAGAAATTTTTTTTCTAATCAAATATTTATAAAAACAGTAGACAACTATAATATAGTAAATATCATGGTATCAGAAAAGCATACAATTTTTGGTGTCGCAGAATCCAAAACAAGTGTCTTCTCAAATTAGCAATATCAGGACCTAAAAATGCAAATCTATACGGGATAACCACCATATTATAAAAATCAAAGTAAAACAATTGACAAATATACGTATATCTATTTTAAATTTATTTTTCAGAAAGTTTTTATCATGATCAAATGAAACTAATATTAATTAGTTAATTAACACAAATTAAGTAATGATCCCATAAAAGATCGCTTAAATAAATCCTGTAAAATCATCAGGTATCTGAAATTCATAAGTTATAATATAATTTTTCATCAAATCAGATATATTAATATTTTCTTACACATATCTTAAGTGATATGCTTAATTGATTTCAACAGATTTACTTTGATCCACTTGAGAGTTTTAATTAAAGTAATTCTTTTGGGGTTATTTCTAGGGAATACAAAAGAAATCATATGCATAATATGAAGATTTCGATATACCATATATGTACTACTCACTTTCATTATAGATTTGTACTATAAATTTTCACACATGTATATATACATGTATATAGGTATATGCTTTCATTGTAATTGCTTTTAAATATTGTATGTGCTTCCTTCCACCAGTCAATCATTCATTATATCCGTTGATAACCAAAAGAGAAACTCTCTTCAAAAAAAGTCTACGATTTCATTGAATTAAAGATATATAATAAATAATAATTAATTGAATTTTCACCTACCTGGTCTTTTATTAAATAATTAATATTATACATTAATATAGTACTGTTAACCAAAGCAACTTGCATAAGATAAGGATATATAGTAAGATTTTTATAAATGAAATGTGTATTATAAAAATTTACGAAGTCGAAGGAATCATTATCTATAGTAGTGTATAATGAAACAACACGTATCCTTAACTTCACTCCATTTTAATATGTGGAAATTTTTATCCAGTGTAAAGAAATTTTATAGAGAAAGAATCTTAAATCGAAATGCTATTATAATTTAATGAAATCTTTGGAATTAATTTGTGTAAGATAATCTAATAATCTCACTCACCTCTTTCTTAACTTAGTTTATATGAAAGTTTATATATGGTTTAAAATTGAGACATAGTTTTCCTAACATATTTTTTTGCCACGGATGGATTGGATGGTGCCTCCTTGAAAAAAGTTTAAAAAGAAGTGGATATAAGATTTTGATAAGGTTAAAAGCATAATAGTTCTAATAGTTTTCGTTTTAGTTAGTCTTTCTAATATTATAATAAATGATGAAACAACACGTATCCTTAACTTCACTCCATTTTAATAATATGTGGAAATTTTTATCCAGTGTAAAGAAATTTTATAGAGAAAGAATCTTAAATCGAAATGCTATTATAATTTAATGAAATCTTTGGAATTAATTTGTGTAAGATAATCTAATAATCTCACTCACCTCTTTCTTAACTTAGTTTATATGAAAGTTTATATATGGTTTAAAATTGAGGTATAGTTTTCCTATTCTTTTGGCACGGATGGATAGAATGGTGCCTCCTTGAAAAAAGTTTAAAAAGAAGTGGATATAGATTTTGATAATAAAAAATCTGATATATATATTTAAACCGTTGTACTCGTATTGAGTACGCAACTAACCACGCAACTCTGAAATAATTTCCTACTCACCTTATTTTTAAAATTTGTGATGATGTGAGATGTGTTCAAATCAACAGAAATATAATATATATAACAAACTTAATTGTTATAATTATTTGGATGCTACATTTTAATGTCCAAGTGTCCTAGTGTCCAATACGACCAAGATTGATACAACAAGAAATTTTGAAGTTAACGCTAGAATTTTTAGAAAAAACAAAAATTTTTATTTTTTAATTTTACTAGTCAGTTTCTTTAAATTTATGTCTACTTTGATTACTATATAATTATTCTTTTCGATCTAAATGATTTATTATTTATCCTTAAATAAACCTTCTTCTTGTTGTGATTAACATATTTTAAAACCTCAATCTGATTTTAGTTTTTCTTCAGATATCTAGAGAGTTCTTGACTTCATATTGTTCTACATTCCACATCAATGTCGTCAGTAGTTAATGTGCCCTTTTCACGCAATATATGTAAAGATTATAAAGCTTTATTTTAAACTTCATACTCGTAATCACTTAATCGTGTAGTATTGCTATTACATTAAAATCAATGTAAATTTTTTACTAGTTTGACAGTCTATAATACTAGGTTCTTCGTAACCTACTTTATACGTGTTCGATTTTAGAGTTCTGGAACTGGTAAATTGACTAGTTTGTTAATAGACAATAATATTGCTTTGTTGTGGTTAGAGTTAATCGTAACTGAATTAATACTAGTATACTCATTATTTCATCACTGGTGAGTTTGAAATTGCATCTCCTACATTATTCTTCATCGGATGGATTGAATTTTAAGGCCAAGAAATTTTTTTTCTAATCAAATATTTATAAAAACAGTAGACAACTATAATATAGTAAATATCATGGTATCAGAAAAGCATACAATTTTTGGTGTCGCAGAATCCAAAACAAGTGTCTTCTCAAATTAGCAATATCAGGACCTAAAAATGCAAATCTATACGGGATAACCACCATATTATAAAAATCAAAGTAAAACAATTGACAAATATACGTATATCTATTTTAAATTTATTTTTCAGAAAGTTTTTATCATGATCAAATGAAACTAATATTAATTAGTTAATTAACACAAATTAAGTAATGATCCCATAAAAGATCGCTTAAATAAATCCTGTAAAATCATCAGGTATCTGAAATTCATAAGTTATAATATAATTTTTCATCAAATCAGATATATTAATATTTTCTTACACATATCTTAAGTGATATGCTTAATTGATTTCAACAGATTTACTTTGATCCACTTGAGAGTTTTAATTAAAGTAATTCTTTTGGGGTTATTTCTAGGGAATACAAAAGAAATCATATGCATAATATGAAGATTTCGATATACCATATATGTACTACTCACTTTCATTATAGATTTGTACTATAAATTTTCACACATGTATATATACATGTATATAGGTATATGCTTTCATTGTAATTGCTTTTAAATATTGTATGTGCTTCCTTCCACCAGTCAATCATTCATTATATCCGTTGATAACCAAAAGAGAAACTCTCTTCAAAAAAAGTCTACGATTTCATTGAATTAAAGATATATAATAAATAATAATTAATTGAATTTTCACCTACCTGGTCTTTTATTAAATAATTAATATTATACATTAATATAGTACTGTTAACCAAAGCAACTTGCATAAGATAAGGATATATAGTAAGATTTTTATAAATGAAATGTGTATTATAAAAATTTACGAAGTCGAAGGAATCATTATCTATAGTAGTGTATAATGAAACAACACGTATCCTTAACTTCACTCCATTTTAATATGTGGAAATTTTTATCCAGTGTAAAGAAATTTTATAGAGAAAGAATCTTAAATCGAAATGCTATTATAATTTAATGAAATCTTTGGAATTAATTTGTGTAAGATAATCTAATAATCTCACTCACCTCTTTCTTAACTTAGTTTATATGAAAGTTTATATATGGTTTAAAATTGAGGTATAGTTTTCCTATTCTTTTGGCACGGATGGATAGAATGGTGCCTCCTTGAAAAAAGTTTAAAAAGAAGTGGATATAGATTTTGATAATAAAAAATCTGATATATATATTTAAACCGTTGTACTCGTATTGAGTACGCAACTAACCACGCAACTCTGAAATAATTTCCTACTCACCTTATTTTTAAAATTTGTGATGATGTGAGATGTGTTCAAATCAACAGAAATATAATATATATAACAAACTTAATTGTTATAATTATTTGGATGCTACATTTTAATGTCCAAGTGTCCTAGTGTCCAATACGACCAAGATTGATACAACAAGAAATTTTGAAGTTAACGCTAGAATTTTTAGAAAAAACAAAAATTTTTATTTTTTAATTTTACTAGTCAGTTTCTTTAAATTTATGTCTACTTTGATTACTATATAATTATTCTTTTCGATCTAAATGATTTATTATTTATCCTTAAATAAACCTTCTTCTTGTTGTGATTAACATATTTTAAAACCTCAATCTGATTTTAGTTTTTCTTCAGATATCTAGAGAGTTCTTGACTTCATATTGTTCTACATTCCACATCAATGTCGTCAGTAGTTAATGTGCCCTTTTCACGCAATATATGTAAAGATTATAAAGCTTTATTTTAAACTTCATACTCGTAATCACTTAATCGTGTAGTATTGCTATTACATTAAAATCAATGTAAATTTTTTACTAGTTTGACAGTCTATAATACTAGGTTCTTCGTAACCTACTTTATACGTGTTCGATTTTAGAGTTCTGGAACTGGTAAATTGACTAGTTTGTTAATAGACAATAATATTGCTTTGTTGTGGTTAGAGTTAATCGTAACTGAATTAATACTAGTATACTCATTATTTCATCACTGGTGAGTTTGAAATTGCATCTCCTACATTATTCTTCATCGGATGGATTGAATTTTAAAGCCAAGAAATTTTTTTTCTAATCAAATATTTATAAAAACAGTAGACAACTATAATATAGTAAATATCATGGTATCAGAAAAGCATACAATTTTTGGTGTCGCAGAATCCAAAACAAGTGTCTTCTCAAATTAGCAATATCAGGACCTAAAAATGCAAATCTATACGGGATAACCACCATATTATAAAAATCAAAGTAAAACAATTGACAAATATACGTATATCTATTTTAAATTTATTTTTCAGAAAGTTTTTATCATGATCAAATGAAACTAATATTAATTAGTTAATTAACACAAATTAAGTAATGATCCCATAAAAGATCGCTTAAATAAATCCTGTAAAATCATCAGGTATCTGAAATTCATAAGTTATAATATAATTTTTCATCAAATCAGATATATTAATATTTTCTTACACATATCTTAAGTGATATGCTTAATTGATTTCAACAGATTTACTTTGATCCACTTGAGAGTTTTAATTAAAGTAATTCTTTTGGGGTTATTTCTAGGGAATACAAAAGAAATCATATGCATAATATGAAGATTTCGATATACCATATATGTACTACTCACTTTCATTATAGATTTGTACTATAAATTTTCACACATGTATATATACATGTATATAGGTATATGCTTTCATTGTAATTGCTTTTAAATATTGTATGTGCTTCCTTCCACCAGTCAATCATTCATTATATCCGTTGATAACCAAAAGAGAAACTCTCTTCAAAAAAAGTCTACGATTTCATTGAATTAAAGATATATAATAAATAATAATTAATTGAATTTTCACCTACCTGGTCTTTTATTAAATAATTAATATTATACATTAATATAGTACTGTTAACCAAAGCAACTTGCATAAGATAAGGATATATAGTAAGATTTTTATAAATGAAATGTGTATTATAAAAATTTACGAAGTCGAAGGAATCATTATCTATAGTAGTGTATAATGAAACAACACGTATCCTTAACTTCACTCCATTTTAATATGTGGACATTTTTATCCAGGGTAAAGAAATTTTATAGAGAAAGAATCTTAAATCGAAATGTTATTATAATTTAATGAAATCTTTGGAATTAATTTGTGTAAGATAATCTAATAATCTCACTCACCTCTTTCTTAACTTAGTTTATATGAAAGTTTATATATGGTTAAAAATTGAGACATAGTTTTCCTATTGTTCTGCCACGGATGGATTGGGTGGTGCCTCCTTAAAAAAAGTTTAAAAAGAAGTGGATATAGATAAGGTTAAAAGCATAATAGTTCTAATAGTTTTCGTTTTAGTTAGTCCTTCTAATATTATAATAAAAAATCTGATATATATATTTAAATCGTTGTACTCGTATTGAGTACGCAACTAACCATGCAAATGTGAAATAAGTTTCCTACTCACCTTATTTTTAAAATTTGTGATGATGTGAGATGTGTTCAAATCAACAGAAATATAATATATATATAACAAACTTAATTGTTATAATTATTTGGATGCTACATTTTAAAGTCCAAGTGTCCAAGAGTCCAATACGACCAAGATTGGTACAACAAGAAATTTTGAAGTTAACGCTAGAATTTTTAGAAAAAACAAAAATTTTTATTTTTTAATTTTACTAGTCAGTTTCTTTAAATTTATGTCTACTTTGATTACTATATAATTATTTTTTTCGATCTAAATGATTTATTATTTATCCTTAAATAAACCTTCTTCTTGTGTGATTAAAATATTTTAAAACCTCAATCTGATTTTAGTTTTTCTTCAGATATTTAGAGAGTTCTTGACTTCATATCGTTCTACATTCCACATCAATGTCGTCAATATATGTAAAGATTATAAAGATTAATTTTAAACTTCATACTCGTAATGACTTAATCGTGTAGTATTGCTAACATATTACACTAAAATCAATGTAAATTTTTTACTAGTTTGACAGTCTATAATACTAGGTTCTTCGTAACCTACTTTATACGTGTTCGATTTTAGAGTTCTGGAACTGGTAAATTGACTAGTTTGTTAATAGACAATAATATTGCTTTATTGTGGTTAGAGTTAATCGTAACTGAATTAATACTAGTATACTCATTATTTCATCACTGGTGAGTTTGAAATTGCATCTCCTACATTATTCTTCATCGGATGGATTGAATTTTAAAGCCAAGAAATTTTTTTTCAAATCAAATATTTATAAAAACAGTAGACAATTATAATATAGTAAATATCATGGTATTAGAAAAGCATACAATTTTTGGTGTCGCAGAATCTAAAACAAGTGTCTTCTCAAATAAGCAATATCAGGACCTAAAAATGCAAATCTATACGAGATAACCACCATATTATAAAAATCGAAGTAAAACAATTGACAAATATACGTATATCTATTTTAAATTTATTTTTCAGAAAGTTTTTATCAAGATCAAATTAAACTAATGGTAATTAGTTAATTAACACAAATTAAGTAATGATCCCATAAAAGATCGCTTAAATAAATCCTGTAAAATCATCAGGTATCTGAAATTCATGAGTTATAATATAATTTTTCATCAAATCAGATATATTAATATTTTCTTACACATATCTCAAGTGATATGCTTAATTGATTTCAACAGATTTACTTTGATCCACTTGAGAGTTTTAATTAAAGTAATTCTTTTGGGGTTATTTCTAGGGAATACAAAAGAAATCATATGCATAATATGAAGATTTCGATATACCATATATGTACTACTCACTTTCATTATAGATTTGTACTATAAATTTTCATATATGTATATATACATGTATATATATGTTTTCATTGTAATTGCTTTTAAATATTGTATGTGCTTCCTTCCACCAGTCAATCATTCATTATATCCGTTGATAACCAA